TTGCCAGCACTGCAGCCTCCGTGCCCGTCGGCGGACTCCAGCGCCAGGATCTTGAAGGATGCTAGCGGCGTGGAACCGGGCTGGGTGGAGATCATGCCTCGGAAGCGGGTCACGGACCACGTCCGGACATGGTTGTTGTCGGCACAGACTAAATAAAGAGCAGGGAGACAGCAGAAGGTCAGTTTGACCCTCCTGGTCCCCCAGGGTGAGAGAGAGCCCTTTTGGAGGTGTGAGGGCCCGGCTGCGGTGTTTCCCTTCAGGAACTCTCTCTGCCGGAGTGCCAGCAGCCCACCAGATGCCCAGAGAAGAGGTTGGGGTCTGACCCCATGTTACCCTCTTCATCTTTGCACCTCTTTTCTTTCTTTTCTCAGCTCCCTGATGCTGTTCTCATGTCACACTCAGCTAAAGCAAGGACCTCAACACCGGCCACGGCCCTCCCTCTGCATTTATCTCGCCCACTCTCCCCATTGGTTCCTTTGCACTGGTCCCTCTGACTGGGATGCCTGGCCTTCATTTCCGCTCTAAGGTCCTCAGACGACAGCCTTGCCCTGAATCAGCCCTCTTTTTGTTTGTTTGTTTGTTTGTTTGTTTCTGTGGCTTTGGAGGCTGTCCTGGAACTAGCTCTTGTAGACCAGGCTGGTCTCGAACTCACAGAGATCCACCTGCCTCTGCCTCCCGAGAGCTGGGATGAAAGGCATGCGCCACCAACGCCTGGCTGAATCAGCCCTCTTGCATGAGCCTCACACACTTGAAAAGGAAATGTGAACGGAGAGGTGAGGTGGTACACTCCTGTGAGCCTAGTGTTTGGAAGGCTGGATCCAAAGGATCCTAAATTCAGGGCTAGCCTGGGCTGTGTAGGGAGACCTTATCTCAGCCAAAACTCCAGCGGCTGGGTGATGGCTCACTTCGCAAAGTGCCATTTCAGAATGAGGGCCTGAACGTGGAGTCACGAGCTTGTCATCCCCACTCTGGAGAGGTGGCGATGGCCAGGTCCCTGGGGCTCTCCCACCAGCTACCCTAGCATATGGGCAATCTCCAGATCCCATAAGAGTCTTAAAAAACAGGATGGACAGGCTGGAGAGATAGGTCAGCAGTTAAGAGCACTGGCTGCTCTTCCAGGGGAGCCGGGTTCAATTCCCAGCACCCACATGGCGGCTCACAGCTGTCTGTAACTCCAGGATCTGACACTCTCACACAGATATACATACATGCAGGGAAAACAGCAATGTATATAAAATAAAAAACAAAGCAAAACAGACAAACAAAAAAACCGAAATGAAGAGACAGCTAAGTGTTTTAGAGCATTTGCAGAGGAACTGAATTCAGTTCCCAGCACCCATGTTGGGTGTTGCACAACCACCTATAACCCCATCTCCAGGGACATCGACATCCTCTTCTACCTTCACTCACATACACATATTTTTAATATTTATTTATTTATTATGTGCACAGTGTTCGGCGTCTGTAGGCCAGAAGAAGGCACTAAATCTCATTACAGATGGTCGTGAGCCACCATGTGGTTGCTGGGAATCGAACTCAGGACCTTTGGAAGAGCAGGCAGTGCTCTTAACCGCTGAGCCATCTCTCCAGACCCACATATTTTTTTAATCTTTTTTTTTTTTTTTTTTTTTTGAGACAGGGTTTCTCTGTGTAGCCCTGACTGTCCTGGAACTCACTTTGTAGACGAGGCTGGCCTTAAACTGGAAGTGATTCTCCTGCCTCAGCCTACTGGGTGCTGGGACTATAGACCTGAGTCACTGTGCCCATTACAGTCCATCCTCCGCTTCTGTGATTCCCACCTGGGGCCTCCTGTTAGCCCCAGCCTGGGAGAGCTGTCCCCACTGAAAGCACAGTCCTCCTGGCTCCCGGCTCCCTGCTCCCAAAGCTGTCCCTCCTGCAGGGGGACCCACCTGAGATGAGGTGTTTCTCTGACAGCATGATCTTGGTGACAGGGCTGCGGTGCACGCTGAAGGTCTGGAAGAGCTGGGGTCCCGAGCCCACGGTCTCGGGGTGCTGCACGATGACCCGCACAACCCCTGAGCTGGTGCCATAGGCAATCTCAATCCAGTTCCCACTGTCACCTTAGGAGAGGCCAACAACAAAGAAGGTCAGTCATGGAGACAGAGCCAGGGCAGAGAGGTCGAGAGAGGGAGGGAGGGAAGGAAGGGGGGAGGGGAGCGACGGGTGGGGGTGGGGGGGACAGAAGACAGAGAGACACACAGAGATCTTGGGACTAAGAAGAAACACAGGCGGGGCTGGAGAGAAGGCCCAGTGATTGAGAGCATTGGCTGCTGTTCTGGAAGACCCAGGTTCAATTCCCAGGGCCCACATGGCAGCTCACAGCCACCTCTAACTCCTGTTCCAGGAGATCTAATCCCTTATTTTGGTCCCTTTGGGTGCCAAGCATGAACACAACATACTTACATACGTGCGGCAAAACACTCATACACATAACCCAATAAATCTTTTAAAAAATTCCAGAAAGACACAAACAGAGAATAAGAAGAGAGTCCACCTCCCAGTGTCTCGGGGACTCCACGGACATTTCATTTTGAGAATCTTGAAACTTTTTTTTTTTTTTTTTTTTTTTGAGACAGAGTCTCACTAGGTAGCCCTGGCTGATCTAGAATTCGATATGTAAATCAGGCTGGCTTTGAACTCATGAACTCACAAAGATTCCCCCCTTAACCCTCCACCTCTGCCTCGCTGAGTGCTAGAGAGGTTCCCAGAAACAAAACAGCACTGTAAAAAACACAGGTGGGTAAAATACAGAATCAGCATTTTGTGCAGTGGCCACAGGCCACATAGGAACGTAGATATCAAATCTAGGAGACAGAGAGATGAACCAAAGGGCCAGCCTGTGATCCCAGAAGTCTGGAGGCTCAAGCAGAAGGATGAGGTCTTCCTTAGTTAGAGGCTAGCCTGGGCTACAGAGAAAAATCCTGCCCTCCCCCAAAAGGGTGGAACTCCTTGAACTTGGATTTGTTTTGTTTCGGTTTGGTTTTTGGAGACAGGGTTTCTCTGTGTGTAGCCCTGGCTGTCCTAAAACTCACCCTGTAGACCAGGCTGACCTCAAACTCACTGAGATCTACCTGCCTCTGCCTCCTGATTGCTGGGATTAAAGGCGTGTACTACCAATGCCTGGCTCTTTTCCTTCTTTGGGGGGGACTTTGGGAGGATTCTTTTAATTAATTTGGGGGGGGGTTCGAGACAGAGTTTCTCTGTGGCTTTGGAGGCTGTCCTGGAACTAGCTCTTGTAGACCAGGCTGGTCTGGAACTCACAGAGATCTGCCTGCCTCTGCCTCCCGAGTCCTGGGATGAAAGGCGTGCGCCACCACCGCCCGGCTTAATTAATTTTTTATTCATTTTTACATACCAAACACAGTTTCCCCCCTCCCCGAGCTTGCATTTGTCTACTATCTGGCATGTATCCACTCTCCTGGTTTTATGAATTATGCAAATGTCATGTCCTGATGGAAGATGGAGAAGACATAAAAATGAATTGACAGTGGCTTGTCACAGACAGGCCAGCAGCACTTAAGAGGGCTAAACAAAAACAAAGTGAAACCACATGCTGAGGGAAATGAAAACTAATGAGTCCCCTCCTGAGGAATCACACGAGACACGGCACACAGCAGGGCCACAGCTACAGACCAGTCTGGGGCTGTCCGGTGACAACAGCAGGGACAGAGGCTTCATCGTAGCGTACTGGTTTTGGGGGTGAGGTAGACACTGAGTGCAGTGACCCCATCTTCTGCTGGGTCTCTGTAGAGCTCACTGACAAGGAGGTCGTTGTCCTTCATCCGAAGGGGAAATTTCTGTACATCTAGGTGGGCAGGCAGGGGTGGGGGGATTTGTTGGAGGCTCCCGCTGCAGCCCACCCCTCAGACGGCAGGAGGAAGGACACTGCTCACCTACGTAATAGATGGAGCCATTGCTACAGCCCAGGAGGAGGAAGGAGCCGGCTGCATCGTAACTGGTGATAGGCTGGACCTCTTGGACCTGGGGCAGGAAAGAGGCAGTAGTGTGGGATGCTCCTGGCATCCCTGCCTTTCTCCCACAGTGCCCATTGCTGTGTGCCCAGCCTGGCCAGGCTACCCAAGCCTGCCCCCATCACTTCCAGCCTTGCCAGTTGCCATCTGTGTCTACCTCTAACATCACAGCTCTCCCCGTAACATCAGGCTCTCCCCGTAACATCAGGCTCTCCCTGTAACATCATGGCTCTCCCTGTAACACCATGGCTCTCCCTGTAATATCATGGCTGTCCCTGTAACATCACAGCTGTCCCTGTAACGTTACAGTGCTCCCTGTAACTGACCTTTGCACCTTCCTCTGTATCTCAGACTGCCATTCATTCCTTGGCCCTCTTCTCTACTCTGTTTTTGATGAGTTTTTAAAAGTTATTTTCTAAGATCATGTGTGTGAGTATCTGTGTGTGTGTGCCCACAGAAGCCAGGGGTGTCAGAGCCCCTGGAGCTGGAGTCATAGGTAGCTGTGAGCCACCTGGTGGGGGTTGCTGGGAATGGAACAGGAGACCTCTGAACCATGCATGCTCTTAACTGTTGAACCGTCTCCCTGGCCCCATTTTTGTTGATTTTTGACCCAGCCACGTGTAGCTCAGGCTGGTGTTGATCCTGCTGAAAAGCTCAGGCTTCCATTGAAGCGCTGACCCTCCTGCCTCCATCTTCCATGTACTGGGACTGTATGGAGGCCAGTGCCACCATGCCTGGAAGTCTCTTAGACGTGTGTGTGTGTGTGTCTGTCTGTCTGTCTGTCTGTCTGTCTGTCTGTCTTTTCTGTCTAGTATGTTTGTCCATCTAGTATCTTGTTTAGCACTAGCACTGAAGGTAGAACTTAGGGCCTCCTTCCTGCTAGCCAAGCACTCTACCACTAATCCACACCATCCCAGCCCCTCAATT